CGCTCCCGGCCCGCCCGCCGCCCGCCGCCGGGTAAAGTCTTAGGTTCAGGGAACAAAGCCCGGCTTGGTAGGGAGCTTTTCGCCGGCTCGTTCCGCGCTGATTTTCCCTCCTTCTTTTTCTTTCCACGGCTCTTGGTTGTCGCTCCCCAACCTTCTTGCCTGCCTTTCCGTCTCGGGCCCTGGGTCTCCGATTCTCCACCCGCCCCCTCAGCCCCAGTGCTCGTCTCTGCCTCAGTTCTTCACCCCAGGGAAACTTGAGGGTGGACAGCAGGGGAAGGGGTGCTAAACGGCAAAGAAGCGGCGTGGGCTGCTCGCCCCTTCGTGTCTCGATGGCCGCTCGAGGGCTCTGTCTTCGAGGCCCCTCTGCGGGTAAACAGACACAGTCGTTTGTTCACGCAACAAATATTTATTGACTGCATACTGTGTGCAGCCAGGGGAATAGAACGGGTATTCCTGCCCTCGGGGAGCTTCGGTCCAGCTCCCCAACAGCACGCTCACCCTGCGACTCAGACCACCTCCAGGCACCCACAGACTCTACCTGACTCCCCGGCCACACCTCCCAGAGACACAGCCCCAGGTCCACCCCTCAGGGGGGCTTAGAGACCTACTAGCTACAGACCCACGACTAAAGAGGCGTTCGAGAACCTCAGGTTACACTTGACCTCTAGGCAGTCATGCAACACAGTGTAAACGCTCACGCGGCACCCTAAAGAATTCAAGTCTCTGAGATTGGGTTCTGGGGAAGGGACGGGGCGTCAGCCCAAACCTGTGTGGGCACGGGGGTGGAATCTGAACCCCCTACTTCCTAAACTGAGGGTGGACGCCTTCTGAGACTAAAGGTCACACTGTCGCAGGAGGTAGGGTGGCTGAAGGGAGAAGGCAACCCTGGGGGCTTCAGCCACACTTCAAAGACCTCGCGGCTGGGAACGCTTCCTGCGGGGGAGGGGCAGACGAAGAGGAGAGGGGAAGACTGGCAGGGGGACCCGACTTGGAAGAGGCTGCCCCCCCGGCCGACTCTTCCGCCGGGACCGCCTCCTTTTCACCAGCACCTGTTCAACCGGAACATCAAGGGGCCTGAGCCCGCCGCCGCCCCTCCCCTCGGGTCTATTTAGTACCTTTCATCCGGGAAGGGGGGTTGAGTCCCCGCCCCGGAGGGGGAATAGGGCGGGGGAGAACTTGTCCTTGACCTGGTCTGTGGCGTCAGGGATTTACTCCCTTAATCCCGGCGAGGCTGGAGTTTAGGGAGGTCGCGGGAGCTGAGCGCTGGCTACAGTCCCCAACCTCCCCTCGCTCCTGCAGGGATTCGGGAATCCTCGAGGGCTACCAGGACGGAGAGGCTGTGTAAAAGCGCGGGGCGGAGGGAAGCCTGTGCCTGTCGCTTCCGCGCCGGGAGGAGGGCGCCGAGGGCCTGGGATTGTCGCGGCCGGTCCCAGAGCCGTGATCCCCGCGAGGACTGCCACTCGCCCGTATCCCGGTCAGCTTTATGAACTTCGCTCATACGAAAAGTTGAACACAGACGCTTAGTCTCACTTAAGAGTTTCTAACGAATTACGTTTGCTAACCAGAATAAAACTTCAAGAGAATGAAATGCAAACGTGTTAGCCCAAACTGTGCACAGGCGTCGGAATAGTTGAGTAAGTGCTGTCGGGACTGAGAGCGGCCGAAGTGGCCGCAGTCGTGGGTTTCGCGAGACCTGGTCACTCGAAGGTCCCTTGCACCACGCGTCCAGAAGTGGGCGACCTGGGGCCCAGGACCCTTTATCGAGGGACCCCGGCTGTGGAAGCAAGCGGTGAGGACACTTGAGCGTTTAGTGTGTGCGTTGGGGGACACTGTTTCCCTGAATCCTCCCCACAGCCCTTTGGGTGGATGTTAATCCGTTTTATAGATAAGCAAGTGAGGGGCGATGAAGTGACGTCCAACAGCTAAGACTCGTGTGTTAGTGGGGTGCCTGTGCCGCCGCACTGGGGAGTCTGCCCACCCCCAGTGTTTGCTTCTGAGGTCTGGGAAACCCGCTGCACCGCGGACTGGATTGGATTCGCGGTGGGTATTTCCCCGGCTGAGCTGTTACGTCCATTCTCCACCATTCGATGGTTTCCTGAGCACCTACTATGTGCCGGTTTTCTCTCGCGCGCTCTCAAACACACACCCACACACACATACACGCGCGCACACACACATACACGCGCGGCTGGAGTAGGACTACGCCAGCACGTGGTTCAAGTTCGGCTTGCTCTCCTCGGGGCAAGTGCGCACTGCGTCGGGTTGTGCGCTGATCCCGGCTCTGCAATTTACGGCGAGTGACTTCACTATCACAGGCTCAGCCTGTCGCTCTTAAATAAGGCGCTGGCTGCTCCGGCAAGGGCATTAGTGAAGATGGAGCGAAAATGCTCTCGTAAAGACGCAGGCACACAGTGGGCACTCCATCCCTGCGGCTCCCTCTCCTCCAGTCTCAGCGTGCCAGGGCCGCGCGTTCCCGCCCCAGCTTCCCGCCTCCGGCTCCGTCGCGG